TGTAGAGCAGTACGAAGAGCGCGACCGATTGTTAGTGGACATCACCACACAGGTCGACGACTGGAACGCCAAGGTGGCCGCCGACAACAAGGTGAAAGAAGCTAAGCAGCTTGCAATCGAGAACTCAGGTGATCTCATGCGTCGTCTTGCTATGAACGAAATCGACGAAGATGATACAAATACGGAGGATGACGACATTTCTACGGACGGCAAATACACCCAAGCTCAACAAAAGCTGGGAAAGAAGCGGTTAACTCGACCAGGGAGTGCTCAAAAAGGAAAAATTACCAAACGTGAACGCTTAGCTGTCGTTATGGATGCTCTAACAGAGAGCCTGAAGTCAGCGAGCGGAGAAGACAACTCCAAGTACGAGTACAAAACGCAGCGACTTGCGTTTGAAAAAGAACAAGCTGAGCTACAACTCAAGCACAAGGCTGAAGAAGCTAAACGACGTCGCAAGCACGAGTTAGAACTCGAAGATCGACGCCGAAAAGCTGATGAGGAGAGCGAAAAGCGCATGTTCGACTTCTTCCGAACAATGCTGAACCAGACCAACAGTAAATAGTAATTTTCTGAATTGAACAACTGCTTAGTCTGAGAGCCAAGATATACGTCTGAGAGCTAAGATATACATCTAGCGTAGGAGGCATTAATCCAAAAAACATGGAGATTTGGTTGCCTAAAGGTTGCATGCATGTATGGCAGTTTGTTAATAAAACCCCAACAAAGAAGAGATTTCCAACTGCAGTATGTCTAGCACGATTCTTTTTATCCCAATTCAGAAATTCCCATTGTGTCTTCACACGACCAAATCCCCACTCGACGCTTTCCCTGACACTGCTCATTTCTCGGTTGAATTTTACCGCTATAGTTGACGTGTCAATGGACGGACAGCAAATAAATCTACTGCAACCATAGGCTGGATCTCCATAAATTAGCTTTCCACAAAATATTCCACTCTGGTCATTCTCCATTAAATCAACCAGACCACTGAGATTTAACATTGTGGAATCATGTCGTCTCCCTTCTAAAGGCCCAAAAAGACTCACGATCAACCCGTCTGGGGCTTGAAGGCTTTGCCAATTGAAACAGTGCCTACGTGGATGCCCATTGAAAAGAGCACGTTGCAGATTTTCATATTCAGAGGCAGGGTTCTCTCGTGCACTTGGTCTAGCCACGTACTGCTTCGTTCCATCAATAAAAGCCCAGCACATTCGTAACGGAGATCCTTTGGAGTGAATGGCAGCTGCATACTCGTTAATTCTTAGATGTACGAGTTGATAATTGAAGTATACTAAGCCACGATGCTGGTTAACGAGAAGCTGAGCGGTTTTTTTCACGACACGACTGTACGGACCCGTGCCTCGCCCAAATTCACTTGCTACAGTCAACAACTTCGAAGGCTCCGAAAGGCGACGGCACAGCATTGCTAGCGCCTCAACGTGGTCGACTCGATCTCCCGACGGAGTTGTAACACCGTCCTCGGGCAGCTTGAGTTTCTTCGCCAGCTCCCTCAGCTCTGTGATAGTAAAACGATAGCGAGCTTTAGCCGTAGCATCGTCGAGCATAACGTCAAAGCGTCTGCTGTTGTCAACTGGAGGAGCCGCATCCCTCAGTCGGAAGCAATTTTGCTGCTGTAGAACCGTCATTATCCGTGCGAACCTCCTCCTGTTTCTCTTCGAAAGCACCTATACAGAGGCTAGTACATGGAACGCTTCCTCCGCTGACAGCTTTGGCGCGACGAATACCATTGTTGGACTGCTTCTTTAGGCGACACCAAACTGCAGCTCTTTTTTTTTGGTCAGAGATAGCCGCTGTCTATCTCTACCCTTACCACAGTAGAGATAAGATTCGACACCTATTCCCGGTAAATGATGCTGTGAAGCTGAAACGTGACCGATTTGGACGTTCCGAAAATTCTCTAATACCGCTATACAGTACAGAAGTCCCCCTCGATAAGCGTAGCTCGGGTTTTGCTTACCCTGCCATATGTGCTGAAAATGATTGACAGAACATATGCGGCTTTGTATCCAGTTCACTGAAATGATATGTAAAATGTCCCATCTAATCCCGAGTGTATTAGTGATGCAGTAGGTCGCCTAGCTAGTTGGTTTGCATCCAGGTAAACATCCGATATTTACCAAAAACAACAACAACAACAACAAACTACACTGTTCTTGGCTTTCGAGACAGTATCCCATGGGCAATTGCGTCTTTAACGGACGAGACGTGAAATCTCACGTTTATCCCGAGATTATCAATCGTTCTGTTAAACACAATATAAAGTTTAAATGCAGAAACACCCTCCTACCAGTCGAGTCTCTGTGGGGGGTGTTTAGCGAATGATTCTAGGGTAATCGTAGACGCGGTCGGTGTCGGCCTTGGCGTTAATGGGGTCAGCGTAGGAGCCACTGTGCATTGAAAAGCAAACATAGTTTCCGGTTATTTGTAAGTAGGGTACCGGCGATAATAAGTCACGTGGAAATGACTCACAGTATGGTCATTGACCAGCATTTACCAAAACTTCTGGAACTGTCTCCCACTAACTGTGTTGAGCATTCTGACCAATTCTTCAATGCACCTTGCACCGAGTTCCTGCTGGGGTTGCAAAATCTCATCGAGGGTGGGAAGGTT